TCCTACACAGTAGTTCCGTGGGAAGAGAGCCCTGTGGTTGGATAAGGATGGAAAACTCTGCCTACGTCGTCTTAGAAACTCACAATTTATATTAAAGCTTTGAGAAGCCTGGAGTAGAACAACCCACTTTATTTAGTTTAACCCAGCATTACCTATACTTTCTTGAGCAGGAAACACTTTATTTCCCAATATTTGTTCCAGTTTAGGGAACCACAGCTGAGAAGTTATGGGAAATCATAAACTAAGTACAGAACTCAACTCCTGCTCTTAAAAAATATTTAATGTACAGAGCCTTAAAATTTAATGTTTTAGAACAAAAGCTAAAATTGTCTTTCTGGCTAGATACTTGCACACGGAAACTTCCGGAACTACACCCACCAACTCTTGAAGAATTAAAGTTTTTCCTATATATCATGCACCCTATTAGAATCTAGAAGCGCTGAAGCTATATTTCTTAGTTAAGGTACAGACAGAATTTTTGTGTACAGAGAAACAATACAAAGGAAAAGCCACAGAGGAGGAGAAAGTGGAAATGGCTTTAAGACGCTCCTCTGTGACTTTATCCTTCGAGTCCTTTCCTAGTACAAGAGAATGGAGCTTCTACATCATTGGCTTAGTGGTACGAAAGGCAAGTAGATTTTCCCTGTATCTCGTGTCCTACTATTTAGTAAAGTTATAATCCAGCCATAGCGGGAGAATCCTTGGAGATTTTTCCAAGATTTGGTTGTCAGAAGGAATGAGTTACTCTGAGAAATGGAAGCCACGTTGTATTTTTTCTGATGGGCTTAGGAGACCTGGGTAGGGGATTGATTCTCCTTTTCAATGAATTATGGGTTCACTTACCCATTCAGCTCTTAACAGCAATAGAATTTTTATTGTCCACTCTTCTATTTTAGATGATGGTGTGGAAACTATAACTACAGTTTTTATTTTGAAGACAAATCAAGAGAAAATAAATTTCTTGTTTCTTCAGCAAGTTTGTTTCTGTAAGCTTCATTAGGACTTTCTGATTAAAATTTTAATAACCTGCATAAATCCTTTCTCGATTATAAACTGTGGAGCAGGAGGTAGGATTCTACACACCAGAAGCATCCAGAAAATAGAGTCTTTTTTTTTTAGGAACTTAATACATCTCTACATGTTGTGTACAAAATGTGTAATGACAAAATTTTAAATAGTACTGACATAAGCTAATGTTTCAGGCTATTATTAATGGTTTTACACGTTAAGTACCATAGGGCTGTGCAATAGGGGGCCCTAGTTTGAGCCCAGACTCTAAGCAGAAATAGCTACTTATTATTAATAAATGTCTGACACTGTTCTAAGACCACTACCTGTGTTAGCACATGTAATCCTCACGACAAAACGTTGAGACAGGTACTAATACTATCCCCATTTTGTGGCGAAGGATGAAATAAATTGCCTAAGATCATATCGTAATGGTGGAGTACCACTCCTGCCTCCCGGGGGTTGTGAATGTTGCTCCCACAGAAAGACTTCCGCCGTGACAGAGAAAGCAAAGGGCCTCCAGGTCGAGAGCCGGGAGCAGCCTGTGCTCACTGTGGTGGACAGCGTGGCTTGGCCCCTCACCCAGGCCTGTCCTCGTGTCTTCTCCAGTGCCTTCTTCTAGTGCGGAGCCCGGGCTGCTGAACATTACATTTCCAGACCCCTGTGCAACCGTGCTCCGATGCACGTTTGGTCCCTTCATTTAGCTGCCCCTGTGCAGGATTGGGAAGGGGGAAGCGTGAGGATCTTCCTGCTCGTTGGCCCGGGCTGCTATAAGCATGACCTTGAGAAATCAAGCTTTTCTACAGCGATGCCCTAGTGACCACGCTCTAGCTTCCTGGGCATCAGCAGGCAGTTGGGTGATGGTGGCAGTAACCTACCCTGCTTGCCGCTGGCTGGTCACTGTCTTTGTGGGTGGAGAGGCAGCAGCTACAGCTGGACGGCAGCCTCCTGCTCTCTGGCTTGCAGCCACTGTCCCGAGTTCTTGTACTCAGCAGATCCCAGGGTGGCCTTCTGAGGGGAAGCAAAGACAGCAGCTTTGGTGGGGACCAGGTAGTCAGTGTTATTATGGGGGCCTACCCTAGAGTCCATTCTTCAGTACTGAATTCCCTGCATTTAATCCCTTTCTGCATAAAATATGTATACCAATTCTGTTTTTCTGCAGCTGACCTGCCAATACACTTGGATTCCTAAGCCAAGTCTAGTGACCCTTCTCACAATTGGTGATAGGTGCCTTTGGGGAAGGGGTTGACCTCTCAGCACAGATGGTCCAGGCAAGAACACAGACTATTCTATTTTCTTGTGTGCTATTTAGTGTTATTATTAACACGAGGGAAGGGGATACTTATCAGGACCAATTACCAGTCCCTTAAAGTGCGTTGTGTTTAAATGTGTACAGCAAAATATATCTTTTTCTCTTTGACATGTGTGTTATTTTGCCATCTTCATCAGCCTCTTCTGATTCTTCCTACCCCACCCCATCCTTTTCTCATTTGTGCTCCTGTGGTTCCTTCACACTTAACCCATTCTTATATTTCTATATCCTAGTGGGAGTAGCTGTTTTCTTGAACAAATCCTCAAATATAACAGAAACTCCCTGAGAACATAGGCCGTGTCTTGTTCACAGGTGTATCCCAGGGCTTAGCACAAGGCCTGGAATGGAGCAAAGTACTCGGCACACATCTTCTCATGCCTGAACGAACATGGTCCTTCCAGGTGTTACTGCATATGAACACCTGACCGTCACTACTAAAGTGAATGTTCCAGTGATCAGAGTGGATAAATTCAGGCAAATACCATCCCTTGGAGAACTGTTATAATGAGGCAAATTTCTACCTGGGTGTGAGACTCGTTATATCTGTACTAAAGACCCAGGGAGCTAGGAAAATATTATGCCTTTTTGCAGAAATGAGGCAATTACTGTAAAAGACGTATTGTGCAATCATCTTAGTAACCCAAACAGGGCTGTGAACACACACTGTGAATATAAAGACAGGCAAATTTTGCAAACAAGTGATTTTTCAAAGGATACAAACAGTTCTTGCTGTTAATGAAGCAGTCAGCTTTGCACCAGTCATCTCTGCCAAGGACGGGGCAGCCACAAATGTGCAATCCACGTAGCGGGTCACAGTGCATTTACCAGCGACCTTGTTTAATCCTCCCAGCAAAGTGGAGGTTATTAGGGCTGCACTTTGCAGATGGGGAGCCTGAGGCTGTAGAGGTAGCACTATTGGTAAATGTCACGAAAGGCCTCAAGATCTTGGTTCTTTGGCTTTAAGCTCAGTTTTACACTTCGTGCCCACCTGTTTTCTCAGTCCCACCAGATGTGCCATGTGAACCACAGGGCATCTTAGGGGCAAAAAGGGCAAAATGACCTGTTTCCCTCTCCCCGGAGGCAGGGCTCTGGGCAGAGCCCTGGGCTGCCGTGGAGGCAGGGCTCTGGGCTCCAGCCCCTGCAGTAGATTTGGACTCTCAAAACGTGGTTTTCCCCATGGCCTCAGGCCCACCTAGCTCAGATTACTTCCTGGTAAAGTGGACACTGCAAGAGCCCCATAGAAGATCAAGGTAACAGTCATATCCCTGTCTTGGTCTGCACTGAAAATGAGGGGTCTGGAGCCAGGAAATGGCAGGCAGCTTGGTCTTCTTGGATCTGTCCTCCCGAGAATGCTGCGCTCCTCGCTGGGCACTGGCTTCAGAGGACATCAGGGGGTCGCGATGTGATGAGCAGAGAAACAGCAAGTGGGGAGAGCGCAGGTGGGGGCCTCCCAGAGCTCCCACGCACATGCACCCCATCTCAGGCCTTGGCCCCATGTCGGGTGCTCACCCGGCCTTCCACACACCCACCCTTGTTCTCCACCACTCGTCTCTGCCCATCCATCGGTGCTCCCTGACTACCCTGCCAGACTCCTTCCCTGTCACCCTCTGTCACAGCACTCTGTTCTTTTCCTCCATGTCTCTTATCACAAGTTAACAATCATACATTTATTTCTTTGCTTAATGTTTAAAGTCTGTCTTCTCAATTGTTTGCAAGAAACTTTAACTCAGAAGAGACCCTGTTGGTTTTACCCAACACCATGGCCCCTGCACCTTCCCCAGTGTCTGTGGAATGGACAAATGAATGAGTGCATGGAGGCAGGGAGGGATCAGTTTATGGGCGAGTCCCATGTATAGGATGATTATGGTGCCCGGGCTGGCGTCTGTGAGAACTGGACACCAAATGGAAAGAGCATGACTGGACATTTTCTTTATGTCCCATCCTCGGGCTCAAATAGGGATCAGCCCATAGAAGCTTTAGGAGGAAGATTCTTACACTGAGATTTCCCACGTGTGAGAGCTATTCAACAGTGATGTGAACTGCCATAGCAGTAATTATTTCTCTGTTTCTGGAGGTGTTCAAGAGCCACCTGGATGATCTCTTGCCAGGAGTCAAGTTGTGGGTGGGGAGGAGACTCCTTCATTGAAAAGAGTTTGGTCCCAATGCTGTCTTAGGATGCTTCCAGCTCTCGTTTGTTGTTTGTTTGTTTGTTTGTTTGTTTGTTTGTTTGTTTTGAGACAGTGTCTTGTTGTGTCACCCAGACTAGAGTGCAGTGGCATCATCATAGCTCAGTGCAATCTCAAAGTTCTGGGCTCAAGCCCAGAATCTCAAAGTTCTGCCTCAGCCTCCCGAGTAGCTGGGATTGTAGGCTGCGTGCCACCACACCCAGCTAATTTTTCTTTGTTTTGTAGGGATGGGGGTCTTGTTATGTTGCTCAGGCTGGTCTCAAACTCCTGGCCCCAAACAATCCTCCTGACTTGGCCTCCTAAAGGGCTAGGATTACAGGCATGAAGCCGCCACACCCAGCTGCTTCCTGTTCTCGGATTCTCCGATCCCAAGTGCTTTTTCTTCTGTTGAGCTGGAAGCAGCATTCATATCCTTTGCTCTTTTTCTTTTTTGTGCTCAGTATGCTGTTGACTGATCTATTTCTCTACTCTGCTTTCTTCTTCTGGGGATATAGATGAGGTCTTGTCGGAAAACTTTCTGGACTATAAGAACCGCGGAGTCAATGGTTCTCACCGGGGCCAGATCATCTGGAAGATCGATGCCAGCTCTTACTTTGTGGAACGTGAGTACTGTCACCATTCTTGTTGCTTGGCAAACTTGGATGAAGCAGAACTCAGCTGCTTTGTTCTGTGTTCTGTCACATTGCCTCCACTAGCAAATGTGCCACATAAAAGGGAGATGTGGATATAACGAGATCCTTAAAAATATTTTCGGTAGTCAATAGTGAAGTCTACAGCAACTGGATGACAGCCATGCCGAGGGCCACTCCTTTAACACCAAGAAAAAGCTTGGTTCGTGTTCAGAAGCCCCTGGACTCGGGACCCTGTGGCTCATGGCCCTTAACTCACTCCAGGGCTCCTTGGGGTGGTCTCCACTTTGCCATAGTTAGACCCGTCTTCCCAACATGTATCCTGGCTTCCATTTTGCCTTTGTTTGAGGCAATCCTTCAAGACTGCCTGCCCATGGCCCCAGCATGTTGGTGACACTCCACATTTTCCTCTGACCTTTTGTGCTGGCTACAGCGCCTCAGAACGGGCTTGGCACCTTAGCACCGCCAACCTGTTTCTTTGCATTTTGATCTACTGACATTTCTAGATGCATAAACTTGTTATCATGTATCTTGTTGAGACATTTTCTCAAATGTTCTCCTATCTTTGAAATTGTTTTCAGAGTTATGACAAGATTTTTCTCTGGGTCTCCATACTGGTATGTGTCTCATTGCATGAGAATATACCTGTCTGGGCTTCATATTTGCCTACTGAAGGAACACACAGATTACTTTTAGTCCATAGCTCCTTCTTGTCCACTTGAGTATGAAAGAGTGCTTTCATGGACAAACCCCTTCATCCACTCTCTGATTCTTAGCAGGTATTCATTCAGTGTAGTGTGTCTGAAAGGAAGTGGAATAGTCTGTTATTCCAGCTACCCAGTTCTCAGAGGAAAAGATACAAGGCTAGGCATCTGAAGTTATCCATTGCCATTTGCCTTGTGATCCAGAAAAACCTACATCCTTAAGCATTTACTCTTATTTTCATGCATGCATTTGAGAGATACTTTGTAAGACTTACTGTACTCCAAGAACTATAGAAGTGACAATGAAAGGCCTGGTGTCTGTCTTTCCAAAGCTTATGGTGTCTTTGCTTCCAGCAATGATATCAATACTTCTTTTCTGTGTCAGCTCCTGCAGAATGAATAGACAATGAGGACATCTCATGCTAACAGAATGCAGAGGGGAAATGATTTTATGAGATTTGGTTGCTGGCCCTTGGCTTTGAGATATTAATAGATAGGCAGAATGAAATTCCCAACAAGAGAATTTCTTTCCCTTCATATTTATCTCCCTGACTCTGGCTTTTCTCCTCTCTAATCCATCCTGCACACTGATAGCAGACAAAATGCCTTAAACCCAATTCTGCTATCAACTCCCCCAAATCTTCATGTTCCCTCTTTCCTGCTGTATCAGTTGAAATCTCTGTGCCCGGCTGCTAGGGCCCAGCATAAACTCACCCTCAGCCCTCGACCCTCCTCCGTCCTCCCCTGCAGACTCCCTCTGCCCTGCCCATCCTGACCTCTCCCCAACTCCACAAATAACATCATTTAGCATAAGAAACATGGGCTTTGGGGGTGTAAGGATGGCTCCAACAAGTGGTACCTAATATAAACCTCCTAAATTCCAATAAGAACAGAAATGATAAAAACTCACATTAGCAATGATTGTTTGATATAATAATCAACTGTATACACCAGTCTACATTGGAAGTTTCATAGGAGGGTTTTTCCTTTCATACTATGTACCTATTTTCTTCCTTTGGGTTCTAACTGAGAAATAGACACAAGGACCCAATTTAGGGCCAAAGTACAGTAGAAGTTCTCAATGGTGCACAAGCACAACTCACAAGTTTTTATGTTTTTGAAGTAAGGGAGATAAGTATTAAGAAAAAGGAAGCCTCAGGGTGGGAATCTCACTATATTTAACTCAAATACAAGAGCCAATGACCCTATTCCATAAAGTCATGTCCTTTCTACACTTTCATAGTGTAAGATCTCCTGACTGTCTCCTCATTTGCATGAGCCAACACATAAAAAAGGGGGAATTTGTGTCATAAATTAATCCAGCAATAGTGCCATTCCCTTCAAAGCAGTTTTTAAAAATTTCTGTGACATATATGGAACATTTCCTGTATATTTATCTCAAGTAACAATTTCATATAATTGTCTTCATTGGCAGCTTGAAAATATACCTTAAGTATTATTAGAAGGACATTGTTATATCAAATAAGCTTTTCATGATATACAAACATTGGCATAATTGAGTGAAAGAAAGCATATTTAAACTTGGTCAATAGCAGTGTCCTATAAAAGACAAATGGCTTGCAAAGAGCATGTTCAAAATAACTGAAAGTTGAATACTTTAGTAAAATGACATTATAAAAATGTTCTTGTGAAAATGTGAGAAAATTCTGATCTTCAATATTCTTATTGGACTAGCAATATTCCAGTGTTTTGGGAAAGTGTATAAATATGAAATAGAAAGAGCAAATATTACATTTTGTGAATATATCAAATGAGTAATCAATATATTAAGAATGAATGATTCAATACTAATATAATATAATTTATCAAAGAAGTAAAAGTTTGTCAAGATAAAGTTTAATTGAGTTTACAAATGATTAGAACATTAACTCAGGGCACCCTTATAAATTAAATAAATTTAAATTCTATAGTGAATTATAGCTTTTGGAGTTTGAATACATTACAATTGTATATCATATGCTATATAAACTTATATATTTTATGTGAAATTATTTGCTTTCAAAAATGTATGCTTGAGAAGGAGCCGAATTAACACGTAAGGAGAGATGGATGTACAAAACGTTCTGATCTGGCTAATCTTCATTAACACATCAAAGCATCAAAGGTCTTCTTGCTTCAATAAAAATGCAGAATCCAACCCATTGTCCAGAAGGCTACAAAAGTTTTTGCTCTGAATCGCAAATAAGACTCTTTGCAGTCTTGCAGTAGAAATAAACACATTAATCTAGCTGGTACGTTATGCTCTCTTTAAATTAAAAATAATTTTGCAGACATTAAACACTGGCTAGATTTTCAATATTGAAGTACAACAGAAGGTCATTCTTTCTACCTGGGGATTAAATTAAAATAATGAAATAGAATGAAGTTTTCCTTTTATTTTTGTTTTCTATTTGTCTCTTTATGTTTTCCTTTTATTACTTTTTTAATGAGAGTAGAGGTATATTTCAGATGACCTGGAGTCTATAATGTTCTAATAGCACATTTCCTTTGGGGTAATGATTCAATTTAGAAGTAGGTAATTGCTATTGATTTATACAATTTTTTAATGGTCTGACCAAATCAGATTTTGAAAGTACCACCAAATTAGGAGTATTCTAAACAAATGTTTTCTATAGTCTCCAAGGAGTTACATGCTTGATAAAATGCTAAAGAAAATAGGGCTTGAATCATTTCCTGTTCTCTGGCATAATTTTTCTCTTGTGAGCACCTGGCTAATGGACTATAGTAATAATTGCTGTAATGTGAAAACTGGAAAGATGCAAATTTTAACCCTGGCAAAAGAGAGAGTTGGTGAAATTTAACTTTATCCACCCTGATAAGATCTTACAATACTGTATTGTTGTAGTAACTCAATTATTACCTTTTAATGCACGCAGCTGGGCTCAGCTGGCAAGCCTCACACCTTCAGAAGGAGTTGCCACAGTCCTTGTTGGTTGCATGCTCCTGTTGGAAGCCCCTCAAAATCAGGGCTGGGGTTGCCCTGAAACACTGGGGAAATGGGGTGACCCTGAAAGGAAGACATCTTTGTCATGATCTCTGTCCCAGATCCGCTCTGTGTATCTCACCAGGCATCAGATTTTAGTAAGAAGAACCGAGCAGCATGCCCAGAGTGGCCTTTGATTACAGCAAAAAGAGACCACGCTCAAAGGGGCATCCCTTCTCTGCCCACTCTTGTTTCTCATCACTGTCATGAGCCCTGTCTGCTCACAGCTGTCCAGACAGATGAAAAAATCTAGAGTCATTTTCAACTTCTGTGTTTTGCTTTAGAGTCCCGTCCCCTGATCGGCTCCACCGGTCCCCAGGGCGGGTCTGTCTCAGGTCAGCCTCTCAGATTCAACCCATATCCACCCTCACTTCCGAGTGTGGAAATCTGACCTGGACTCACACCCAGATGACTGCCTGCTCTGGTTTTGTAATTCCCTGCACTTGTCAGAAGAACATCCCTCAACTCCCTTTTCAGCACGTCAGTTCCAAGTCTTTTCCCATCGCTTCTTCTGTCTAGTCTGTTCAGGCTGCTATAAGGAAACACCCCAGACTGAGTAATTTATAATGACTGTTCTGGAGGCTGGGAGGTCCATCTCAAGGCACCGACAGACCTGGTGTCTGGTGAGGGCCCACTCTGCTTCCATGGTGGCGCCTTTTGCTGTGTCTGCACATGGCGGAAGGGGCCAAAAGTATTAATGCCATTCAATCATCATCCCAAATTTAAAAAACACACAGGGCCCCTATTATACATAACAGAAAATCTAAGCAACTGGTCCTGCTATATATTTGTAATGCCTCCTTCTTAAGTATGGCCAGGTGAGCTTTACATGGGGCGGGGGGTGGTCAGAATCCACCTCCCCACTGAGCTTCAAAAGGTGACTCCCAAGTGACATACAGCATCATGACCACAGTGGCTTGAGAGCTCCACACCCCCCACTCCCACTGTGGCCCTTTGGACTCTGTTTCTTCATCTATAAAATGAAAGTAAGGGGGTACATTCCCACAAGGTGGTCCCATGGAGATGAGCTGAGAGCACAGGTGACATGTCCAGCCGTGAGTCTGGGACAGCGGGCACTCGGTCAACAGAGGCTTTGAATGAGGGCTGCAGGTGGCGCAGTGGGAGGCGTCAGGACGGGAATGTGCATTCAGCTTTGGTTTCTGCTCTGGAAATGGACAAGGTGGTGTCTTGGTGACAACTGTGACTTGCATGGCTGTATGCTGAGAGTGTTCTGTGGGGAAATCCTCGGCAGACGGAAGGGCACT